TGTTGTTGTTGTGTATATGGACCGTATGGACCGATATACAAGTTGGTGCTCACATTGTTAGATTACCAGTTAAAAAGCATTGTCAATATATTTTGTCATTATAGTTACATTTAATAAATAGTATTCACACTAAAGTACTTCCAAATATAACATTTGGCGACGAGGTAATCGACTGAACCATAGGGCAGATGGATAATACACAATTTGATACTTTGATGGAAACCCTTGCGAAATTATTACAACCCCAAAAAAATGATAATTCTATACGAGGAGAAAACATATCATTGGAATCTTTCAATGAGGAAAACGAAACTTGGGAAATCTTTATCAAACGATTGGAAAATTTTTTTGGTATGAAGAAGTTTGCAGGTACGCCTAATGAAATAAATAATAAAAAAACAGAATGGCTTATTCATACTATGGGCACAAAAACACTTCAATTACTGTACGATCTTTGCAGCCCAGATGATCCGAAAACAAAGCCCTATACTGATCTAGTTAAATTATTATCTGACCATTTACAACCAATGTCAAGCGTCATTGCTGAACAAAATCGTTTCTCTAAACGTTTTCAAAGAGATGAAGAAAGTATCACAGAATATATTACAGATCTTAAAAAACTAAGCAAAAATTGCGATTTCAAATGTCATAGTTGTAACACGTCAACCGTGGATGTTCACCTGAGACAACAATTCATTAGTGGACTTAAAAATCCAAACTACATTAAAAAACTTATACAGTTAAAGGCTCCTGACAATACTTTTGCCGAATGTGTTAAAGTAACATTAGCGATGGAGTCTGCTTACAAAGAAACCAAAGAAATTCAAAGTTCCAGTACATTTAAAGACTCTCTTTCTTGTTCTTCGGATCAAAATCAAATTAAAGCACAAAAAGATATACGAAAGAATTCGAATTATCAAACAAACAGAATTAATTTCAAAAATAATAAAAAAAAGTGTTTCAAATGTGGAGATTTCGCACATTTAGCTAATACTTGTCCACATAAAAATTTAAAATGTACAGAATGTCATAGATTTGGACACCTGGCAAGAGTCTGCATGAAAAGTTCCTCATCTAATATTACTAGATTGCATACAGAACAAAACCAGATTAATTTCACAGAAGGACTCGATACGAAAATACATGAATATAACTCAGGAACAGATGGAACAGACATGTATTTCATAAATACAATTAAAGAGTTATTTTTACCTGAAAATACAAGAAAACCAAAAAAATATTTAATAAATGTTTATTTAAATTCAATACCAGTTAATATGGAATATGATACTGGGGCTGCAGTTTCATCAATGTCACATGAAAATTTCAAAAAACTGTTTCCATTTATAAAAAATTTTCAAACTAATTTGCCATTAAAAACTTACACTGGCGAAATTATAAAACCTATTGGATTTGCAACTATGAAAGTAGAAATGGATAATTATTCCTTTGTTGGTAACCTTTACATTATCCCTAACAAGGTGGATTCAATTTTCGGGAGAGAGTGGATGAGATCCAGCGACGACGGTGTTTTACAAATAAATCAAAATAAAATATATGGAAGTCAAAAGAACGAGATAATTGATAATTTGAAGCTTAAATTTGAAGAAGTATTTAAACCTGAAATAGGAAACATTAAAAAAAATGAAGCAAATTTATACCTCAAAGATAATGCAAGTCCAATTTACGTACCTGCAAGAAAAATACCCTATGCCATAGAAGAAAAGGTCATCGAAGAAATTAGGAGACTGGAAGCCGCTGGAATAATTAGTAAGCTAGAATATAGCGAATGGGGAACTCCAATTGTTCCAATAATAAAAAAAGATGGATCAATAAGATTGTGTGCGGATTACAAAATAACCATTAATAAAGTACTTAAAGATGACAAATACCCAATGCCTAACGTAGAAGATATTTTTGCAAAGACGATGTTGGGTGGTAAAGTATTCACAACATTAGATATTCGAGAAGCTTACTTACATATGTCAATGAATGCGAAAAGTGCAGAGATTCAAGCTATTACAACACTGAGAGGAGACTACAAAGTAAATAGGTTAATGTTTGGTACCAAAGTTGCCCCAGCTATATGGCAACGGTACATTTCCCGAACGTTGGAAGATATTCCAGGAGTATGTGTATTTTTGGATGATATCAAAATTCAAGGATCAAATTTAACAGAAAATATCAATAGAGTTGAAATGGTTTTAAGACGATTACAGGAAGCAGGTTTGAGAGTTAAGATGGAAAAATGTAGATTTTTTGAAAAATCAGTTAAATATCTAGGGCATATTGTATCCGAAAATGGTTTGGAAAAATCCGATGAGAAAATAGAAGCTGTCAAGAATGCTAGAAGACCTACCAATTTAACTGAACTTAGAAGTTGGTTAGGAATGGTAAATTATTATGGGAAGTTTCTAAAAGACATTGCTAGAAAATTACATCCACTCTATAATTTATTACAGAAAGACGTACCATACCAATGGACAGAAGAATGTGAAGAAGTTTATAACTGGATAAAATTAGAAATCGTTTCTCCTCAAGTCTTATGCATTTACAATCCAGATCTTCCACTTTCGTTAGCTACAGATGCTAGTCCATATGCTCTAGGAGCAGTGCTGTCTCATAATTTTCCAGATGGATCTGAAAAACCTATTGCATTCGCTTCAAGGAGACTTGATAAATCTGAAAAAAATTACAGTCAGATTGATAAAGAAGCGACTGCTATTTACTGGGGTGTCACAAAATTTTTTCAGTACCTTTACGGGAGGAAATTCATACTTATTACGGATCACAAACCTTTAGTTTCAATATTTAGTCCAGAAAAACATTTACCTTCAATGGTTGCTACAAGAATGTTACACTACGCTCAATTTTTACAAGGTTTTGATTTCGAAATTATTTATCGTTCAACTTCAAACCATGCCAATGCTGACGCTTTGTCAAGATTACCGCAAGAATATGACGAAAATGGAAATAACTATAATTGTGACGATGTGAATGCTTACCAGTTACAGCAAATTATAAAATTACCTGTCACACACACAGAAATTGCCAAAGAAACACGGAAAGAAGAAAACCTACAAGACATTTATAATTGCTTATCACAGGGAAAAATCATCGAAAAAGAAGGTTTTATAGGAAGAGATGTTGAATTTTCTTTAGCTGATGGAGTTATAATGAAAAATAATAGAATAGTGATACCAAAAAGTTTACAGAACAGAATTTTAGAAGAATTACATGAAGGCCATTTAGGAATATTCCGAATGAAGAATCTGGCAAGATCATACGTTTGGTGGGTTGATATTGATAAAGATATAGAGAATATTGCTAAATCTTGTATCACCTGTCAATTATCACAAAATCAACCTAAAAAGACAATACATTGTTGGGAGAACAACAAAAGTCCTTGGCATAGATTACACATAGATTTTGCAGGTCCTTTTTACGGAAATTTTTTTTTGGTCCTAGTGGATGCATATTCAAAATGGTTGGAAGTAATACTAATGAATCAAATTACTGCTACAAAGACAATACGTATTTTGAGAGATATTTTTGCTAGATTTGGTTTGCCTATTGTAATGGTAAGCGATAATGGTCCAACTTTTACTTCGAATGAATTTAAGATGTTTCTAAAATCAAATGGCATTAAGCATCGGTTCTCCGCACCATATCACCCAGCAACCAATGGACAGGCGGAAAGATATGTCCAGACAGTTAAAAATGCATTAAGAAAAATGTCACAAGATGCTGGAGATATAAATTGCAAGCTAGCAAATTTTTTACTTCATTACAGAAAAACATCACATAGTAGTACAGGTGATCAACCTTGTATGATGTTAATGAACTTGGACATTCGTACCAAAATTGATTTAATTCGACCAACTGAGATAACCGATATTCAAGATAACACGAATTTTTTTTATCCTTCACGAGAATTTCAGGTAGGCGATAAAGTGCGGGTACGTAACTATATTAATAATTCAAAAAAATGGGAATTTGGCAAAGTAACTGAAAAACAAGGATTGCTACATTATTTAGTTGAACTTTATGATGGTAGAATCTGGAGAAGACATATTGACCAAATGGATGCTACAGAAGTCGATTTACAAAGGATGCCACCTAAATTTCCCGAGGGAAACATACCTCATACAATCAACCACAATAAAACTATGTCAACTACTACCATACACAATTATGATAACTCTGAGATCCCAAATACTACAAATACCAATGATATTGAAAACCAAATTCCGAGTTCCACTAGCAACAGAAATGGTCATCCAGAAACTGACACGCAAGACATTACTAACATGGAAAATTCAAGAATGAATGAAGAAAGAGATGAAGGCCAAAGTGAACAACATACCACTAAAATATACCGAAGATCAAATCGAATCCGGAAACCAGTTAAACGAATCGATTTATAGTTTTAAATATAGTTGGGAGGACTGTTGTGTATATGGACCGTATGGACCGATATACAAGTTGGTGCTCACATTGTTAGATTACCAGTTAAAAAAGCATTGCCAATATATTTTGTCATTATAGTTACATTTAATAAATAGTATTCACACTAAAGTACTTCCAAATATAACAGTTGTGGCCTTGAAAAATCATATCATGCAGCCAAAGAATTAGAAAATTTAAGAGCCTGGAATAAACAAAAATTCTACAAAACAACAGACAAATAATTTGGTCTGTTCACATAGAAATCACAAACTATTCAGAGCAAATTTCATTGGTTGGAAAACAGTCAGAAAACTAGTTTCAATCAATAAAATTCACTCTCACTGGTTTGTGATTTCTGTGAGAGCAAACCTATTATGTAGTTTAAAGAATATTTTGAATTATTTTTAACAAATTTTTCAAGTGGTGGTCAATTTTTATTCCACTCATTAGTTTGGTTTGTTAAATTACTTAATTGCCATCAATACTTAACGTACCCTGCATAAGACCAAAATTGCTGAAACTCAAACTTCAACCCACAAAAAAATCCTTACCTAACAACTCCAGCATTTTGTCGCACTCGTCCAAAACAAAATGCTTCAAATTCTTCAAGTTCAACTTCTTGGACCTGACAAGCGCCAAAATCCTGCCAGGTGTCCCGACAACAATATGCGGACAACTATTCTTCAGCACATCCTCATCCTTTTGGATGGGCATGCCACCGAAAAACACACCCACTTTGATTGTGGGCATGTATTTGCTGAACCGTTCGTACTCTTTGCTGATCTGGAATGCCAGCTCTCTGGTGTGACACATCACCAGTACGTAGACCTGGTTTTCTGTGGGTTCCAGTTGCTGGAGAGTGGCCAGGACAAAAACGGCGGTTTTACCCATACCGGATTTTGCTTGGCATAGGATGTCCATGCCAAGGACCGCTTGGGGAATACATTCGTGCTGAACTATAACAAAATGGGACAATATAAAATAGGTTTTTTTTTATCTTATATTTAGGATGACGTCATCAATATATAAACATAACCTAATTAATTAGTGAAAAATGTTTTGACAAAACAACTAAATATCAAGGATAGTTACCTTCTGAAGGATGTTCGAAACCGCAATCGACGATGGCACGTAAAATTTCCGGTTTCAAAAGGAAATCTCTGAATCCGGAACTGTGAATGGAGACGTAGGTACCTTTTACCGCCTTTTTAGGTTCGGCCGCTGCTTCGGCCGGAGTTTGCTCATTTTGTTCTTCGTCTTCGTAATCGAGAAGATCTTCTGCATCCGCCATTTTATTTACTATTTGGAAAAAATCACTCAAAATTAACAACGGGTAATTACAAGAAAAATGATGTTTATTGAGAAAAATATGCAAATAATAACGTAAAGAGGCCAATGGAGGATTATTTTGTAAAGAAAAACAAATAAAAATGTTGGGGATTGAGGAAATAATTATGGAAAACTTACCGGAATGGGTCTGCTGTTTGGAAAAATGCTAAAAACAATACAAGATGGAGGACTCAACGTTGCGTCGTCGCGTCGACAAGAAAGAAGAAAGAAATGAAATGGAATCGAATAATCGGAAAGGAATTTTGAATAAATTGATGGAAGGGGAACGTAAATGTCACTTGTCATTTTGACTTTTCGGCCATTTTGCTTTTTGGGGGTACGTTCGAAAATTAGCACCCAGTGAGCATTAGAAAATGCAAGGCGTGTTTTTTCGACGTGATGGAGTGAGATAAGGTTATATATGAATCATATGTCAAAAAAAAAACACATTTGCAGCGAATGCCACAAGCGAATGCAAATAGTGCACTTATTTCAAAAGGTGCAATAAATTCAATATCAGAGTAATTGGTGCAATTAGAACAGCATTCACTAAATTTAGTGCAGAAAGAACAATTAGTGCAAGTAGTTTTCGAAACAGAATAATCAGTGTAGAATCGGTGTAAGTCGATTCTAAAAAAGATTTTTTGTTTTTTAAATCGATACTTTTATCCCAACATATCGATACTGTCGATAGTCTTTTTGAAATCCAACAGACTCACGATAAATAGAATTTCATTGTTTGTGAATAGAACTCTATTTATCGTGTTTCAGAATCCCAGTTAAAGCCTAATACTCACAACTGCGAAATTCGCTCTTTTCTTTTTTGACATTACTTCAACAATTTGACGTTTGATACATGCAATAAACGTCAAATTGTCGAAGCAATATCAAAAAAAGAGCGAATTTCGCGCAAAAAAAGGCGAATTTCGCGCAAGTGAGAATGAGGCATAAAACGTCAACATGTCGAACCAATGTCAAAAAAGTGCGAATTTCGGAGTTATGAGTACTAGGCGTAACTCCGGTTGACTTTTGAAAACGATTCCGAATAAAATTGCACATTTTATCGATTTCAAGAACTTGACAATACTTGAGTCAAATTATTATCGATGCGGATTTATCAAATATTTAGAAATCGATTCTAACAATTTGCAGTTGATTTTTTTTTGAAATGACGATAAATAGAATTCTATTGAATTGAAAATCATTAGAACAATAAAAAAAACTTTCTTGCACTTAGTGCAAAGTTAGAATATTATATATAGAATAGTTAAGTAGAATCGATGCAAGAAAAATGCGTTTCTTGTCACTAACATCAAAATTTTTGACTTTTAATGACTTTGTAGGTAAGAGAAAGGCGTACAGTAAACAGTAACATACCCTTTTTTACCTATCATTTCCTTCCACTATTGTTCCTTCTATTGTTCGAGTTCCTCTAAGTGTTCCAATTGCTTTAATTTCTGTTTCATCTGCACTAACTCTGTTCTGTTTGTACTGTTCTGATTGTTAATATTCGAACTACTCCAATATGTTACTAAACAATAAATTGGTTCACTATAACAGTAGGCTGATTTGAAAATTAATTTTGGGTTTTTAGTAATTCTACTCTGACTGTTCCACGTGCACTAACTCTTTTTGATCTGTTTAACTGTCCGTACTAGACTATTTAATCCTGTTCCAAGTGCATACACTTACTTGATTTAACTTGTTTTAAGTATTCCATCTGCATCGAATCTATTTGAATTTCTTCTATTATTCACGAACAGTTCCGAGTCAGTTCTTATCGAAAATCGAATGGGAACCAGTTCAGTTATGGGAATAGAACTGCATAAAACTACGAATGTATTGAATTCTTAATTCTCATAAATCCTTAGAACTAGTTGAACTAAACTGCTGGACACTCGAACTTTCACATATACAAATTTTTAGACCAAATTCAAAATTCCATATTTTCGACACGAATAAAGTTTTTTTTACCGCGGTTTGTGAATTTTAATAGCTTATTTTTTGGGGATAAAACTTGACGTAAATTTGTCATAGGACCATACGGTTATGATATACGGGGCGATAAAATTCAGTTTTGCTTTAAAATCTGTATGTTTAGTTTAGAATCGATGCGGAACCGATAAGAGTCGAACCTATTCTAAACCGTTTATGTGCCTACTATAATCTAGTTTAGGGCTGGGATCACGACAAGCAGAATTCTACTTTCATGACGTCAGCCGCGACCTATTTATTGCGTACAGTACAGGCAATGATGAAGATTGCTAGGCAACCTGACGTCATGAAAGTAGAATTCTAGTGGAATTCTACTTGTCGTGATCCCAGCCCTGGGATTCTATTGTACCGTTAGCTAAAGATTTTGGTGTGTCGGAACTTTCTACCATCCAACAGTACTATTTTTATTTCGAACAATCCGCGTTCTTTCTACATCTGCGAGTGACTTCATTTTTTTTTAAGTAGGTGAATTTTGAGAACCAGATTGAATTCAACTGAATTCCACTATCCTTGCGTTCGGTTTTTTACTCAAAGACCAAAAGATCAGAACGTGCTGAAGTGGAATCATGTTAAACGTTGTTGTATCAAAGCGCTCGAAATTTTGATAAACAAACGCGAATGAGCATGCACCGTGCACCGAGCATACTTTTTAAATGAATAAACGGTAAAATCAAGCTCGGAGAACTCAGATCAAAATTCCGAACGCACGGAAAAACTCAGAACACTCTACAGATCTGTTCCGAACCGCCAAAAAAACCGTTCTAAGAACGGTTTCGGAACCATTCTGTATACCAACTTCGAATTTTACGCAGAAATTTTACGTTTTGCTAGAATCCTGACGGTGAAATGTATGGTTCCCTGCTTGGTTGGTACAAAGCTTTTATCACTCGAATAATAATATAATTGCATCTGAGTAAATATTGAACTCCTGTTCTTATAAATCTCTAGAGCTGGTAGAACTAATTCTGTCTCGAACCCAATTCTAGCCGAACCGCGAACAAAGAACAGTTACCCGAAATTTGGAATTTACTGTTCCACAAACTCAAATAGTTCTGAAACAGTGGACTGTTTCTAATGAACCAGCTCTGGATTCCTAGGTCAGAATCGGCCGGAACCGATTCTGCAAACGGAGCTGAAATGGTAACTTTCTTCACAGATATCACAGATGACATTCTGAACCGTTTACTGTACCTACGATGATCTAGTTCAGGATTTTATTGTACCGCTAGCTGACGATTTCGAAACACAGTACCAGAACTCAGGAATCCTCTCTTAGAGCAGGTAAAGGTAAAGGAGTAGTAACCTGGATTTGGAAAATAAAGCCGTTTTTTTCCAGGTATTTTGGCCCACAAAAAATGGCGGTTATGGCAATTCAATGCTCTACCTATATTTTGGTGCCAAACACCTGCCAAAAACTTAGCTTCACTTTAGTTTCATGAGCAGAATGGCGCGTTCCTACTCCTTATGTCCGTAGGACAGCGCTTTACCTGCTCTAAGAATCCTCTATTATCCAACGAAACAAAGCAAATCAGCTGTTTGACATTTTTGCTTCGACCGTTCCGGTCATTAGTGTATTAATTTTCCACTCTAATCGCTCCTAGATCACGGGACAAAAATTTGTTCTTACTCCACTCCAACTCCGTGCTGAATAGCCGAAACCAGCTTTCTATTTGGGCTATGGTCCGAATATAATTAAATTTCTAATCTAAGTATTCCAATTGCTAATTGCTTTAATTTCTGTTCCATCTGCATTAGCTCTGTTCTGTTTGCGCTGCTCTGATTGTTACTGTTCGAACTACTCTAATATACTACTAATCAATTAATTTATTCACAATAACACTAGGCTGATTTGAAAATTAATTTTGGGTTTTCAGTAATCCCACTCTGACTTTTCCAAATGTACTGACTCTTTTTTGATCTATTCTACTGTCCAAACTACATTTGGTACATTCAGGCGGTGCCACTCAGTAGGGACTTTATGCTCAAAACCGAAGAACAGTGTTCTTATGAGAACGACTGCTCTGTCATTGTCAGTGTTATGGAAGAATGAATATGGACGACGAAGACAGAACCTTCGTTTTCATGAGAACGCTGCTTCTTTGTTTGCACTGCTCCGATTGTTATTGTTCGAACTAGTTCAGAATCGATCCTGAACAAATTCTAGTTGAACCGCGAATAAAAAATAATTACTCCAAATTTTTAACTGATCCTCGAACGCTAAATGCAAATAGTTACGAATCAGTTCTTATTGCGAACCGATTAGAAATCAGTTTATAATTTTATGTTATCACGAATGATTTGGAAATGGAAAACCCAAACTCAGAATAAAGTCGTATTAAAATGCGTATATTTTCCTCAAACTTATGATAGTTCTTGTTCAAACGCAAACTGGTGGAACTAGTCCAGAATCGATGCGGAACCGATTGGAGTCGAACTTCGAACAGAGAGCTGTAACAAAAAAATCATAAACTAGTAATCTGCGAACTGTGCACGTGGAGCTAAAATAGTAACTATGTTCACGGATTGCATTCCGAACCGTTTACTGTGCCTACTATGACCTAGTTCGGAATTTTAATCCCGAACGATTTCGGAACGCAAGTACAAGAACTCAGAACCCTCTACCATCCAACAAGAATATGTTTATCTGGAACAGTCGCATTCTTTTTACATCTACGAATGAGTCCGTTCTTTTTAAGTAGGGGCATTTGATAGCCAGAATAAATTCAAATGCATCCTACTATCCTTGCGTTCGGTATTTTGCTCAAAGATCAGAGCGTGTTGAAGCGAAGGCATGATCACAGAGCAGTTAAATCAAAGCGCTAGAAATTTTAATGAACGAACGCGATTTCCCAACAGGATATAAAAACGAGCTACGAACCACAAAAACAAAACATGTTCAAAATCAATTCGGAACCGATTCTGGATGAACTCCGAACTAAAAGTTCGGACTAACGCATTCGAACAGTTTCCATTCCTGACCCGCTCGCGGATTAAAGTAATCTGCCTTGTTAGCGGATCACTATTTTTGATCCAATTTGGATTGTCCAAAGTGCATAATAAGAACCAAATCAGAATTTAATGCATTGAAAACAATTTCAGCTTCACACTCAAAGCGCACTCGAACTGATTAGATCCTGTTCGTTTCAACTCTCAGAGTATTCTCTTTTGCTTTCGGCGTATGACGTCACGATATCCATGCTCATACCGTTCCGCTCCGTGGAGTGCAAAGCCGAACTAGGCCAATGTGAAAAGAATCACAGTTCCTTGCTCGCGGCTTACTAGAATCGGTTCTAGAACCTAGCTCAAAGGATAATAGCTTGTATTTGCAGTCGTTTGCGGTAAAAATAAAGTCAACTAATTTGATTATACATTCGTGCATGCGTTTTACAACTCTGAACTAGTTTTGAACTGATTCTGACTCTGTTCGGAATGTGATCTTGAATCCAGAGCAGGATTGCATTAGAACGCCATATAGAAAAAAGAAGAGTGCCATATAGAAAAAAGAAGAGTTCACATTAACCGCCATTTTTTTGTAATTGTTTATTTACATTAAAATTTTTGGAAATATACTTTTAAATTTTAAAAAATGAAACCTTATTATGGTGAATTTTTGTTTTTGTTATTGTTAAGTATTGTCCGCAAAGTATTCAGTGTCCACTTTGATCCTTTAGGTTATGTAGTGTATTGTCCTTGTATGGGTAAGCTAATAATTGTTTTAACAGCTAATTCTGACTCAATGTCCTTTTTTCAGGCAGATTTGGCAATCAAGCGGACCATTTCCTAGGGGCCTTGGCCTTTGCCAAAGGCCTAAACAGAACGCTGGTACTGCCACCTTGGATAGAGTACCGATACGGTGAACGGAAGTCTATTCAAATCCCATTCGACACTTATTTCAAAGTACCACCTTTGGAAAAGTACCACAAAGTAGTCACAATGGAACGGTTCATGCAAGAAATTGCCCCATATGAGTGGCCCCCTGATAAGAGGATATCGTTTTGTTATATGAGCAGGGGTAGGATTTTGTATTTAGGCCTGGTTTATTCTTCACTTCCAAATATTTGGAATGTTATTGATGTTAGAAGCTGTACAACATGGCAACGTTGTTTTTGATTGGCCAATTAAGAACCTGTGATAGTCAAAATTTTAAATATTTTTCTCATTCTGTCTTACACATGATTGTTTTTTTTGTCTCTTTCTCATTACAAAATGTCAAAAAGTGTCAAGTTGACAAAAGACAAATGTCATTTATTGATAATAAACCACAAAATATAAATATTTGGAATGCTGGTAAAAACTGTACAACATGGCAACTTTGTTGATTGGCCAATCAAGAGCCTGTAATAGTAAAAATTTGAAATATCTTCCTCATTTTATCTTACACGTGTTTGCTTTTTATCTCTTTTCATCACGAAATGTCAAGATGTGTCAAGTTGACAAAAGACAAATGTCATTTATTGGTAATAAACCACTAAATAAAATTATTTGAAATGCTGGTAAAAACTGTACAACATGGCAACTTTGTTTTTGATTGGCCAATCAAGAGCCTGTGATAGTGAAAATTTGAAATATCTTTCTCATTTTGTCTTACACATGTTTGCTTTTTATCTCTTTTTCATCACAAAATGTCAAGATGTGTCAAGTTGACAAAAGACAAATGTCATTTATTGATAATAAACCACAAAATATAAATATTTGAAATGCTGGTAAAAACTGTACAACATGGCAACTTTGTTTTTGATTGGCCAATCAAGAGCCTGTAATAGTAAAAATTTGAAATATCTTTCTCATTTTGTCTTACACATGTTTACTTTTTATCTCTTTTTCATCACAAAATGTCAAGATGTGTCAAGTTGACAAAAGACAAATGTCATTTATTGATAATAAACCACAAAATATAAATATTTGGAATGCTGGTAAAAATTGTACAACATGGCAACTTTGTTTTTGATTGGCCAATCAAGAGCCTGTAATAGTAAAAATTAGAAATATCTTTTTCATTTTGTCTTACACGTATTTGCTTTTTATCTCTTTTTCATCACAAAATGTCAAGATGTGTCAAGTTGACAAAAGACAAATGTCATTTATTGATAATAAACCACAAAATATAAATATTTGGAATGCTGGTAAAAATTGTACAACATGGCAACTTTGTTTTTGATTGGCCAATCAAGAGCCTGTAATAGTAAAAATTAGAAATATCTTTTTCATTTTGTCTTACACGTATTTGCTTTTTATCTCTTTTTCATCACAAAATGTCAAGATGTGTCAAGTTGACAAAAGACAAATGTCATTTATTGATAATAAACCACAAAATATAAATATTTGGAATGCTGGTAAAAATTGTACAACATGGCAACTTTGTTTTTGATTGGCCAATCAAGAGCCTGTAATAGTAAAAATTTGAAATATCTTCCTCATTTTATCTTACACGTGTTTGCTTTTTATCTCTTTTCATCACAAAATGTCAAGATGTGTCAAGTTGACAAAAGACAAATGTCATTTATTGATAATAAACCACAAAATATAAATATTTGGAATGCTGGTAAAAACTGTACAACATGGCAACTTTGTTTTTGATTGGCCAATCAAGAGCCTGTAATAGTAAAAATTTGAAATACCTTCCTCATTTTATCTTACACGTGTTTGCTTTTTATCTCTTTTCATCACAAAATGTCAAGATGTGTCAAGTTGACAAAAGACAAATGTCATTTATTGATAATAAACCACAAAATATAAATATTTGGAATGCTGGTAAAAACTGTACAACATGGCAACTTTGTTTTTGATTGGCCAATCAAGAGCCTGTAATAGTAAAAATTTGAAATATCTTTCTCATTTTGTCTTACACGTGTTTGCTTTTTATCTCTTTTTCATCACAAAATGTCAAGATGTGTCAAGTTGACAAAAGACAAATGTCATTTATTGATAATAAACCACAAAATATAAATATTTGAAATGCTGGTAAAAACTGTACAACATGGCAACTTTGTTTTTGATTGGCCAATCAAGAGCCTGTAATAGTAAAAATTTGAAATATCTTTCTCATTTTGTCTTACATATGATTGGTTTTTATTTCTCTTTCATCACAAAATGTGTCAAGTTGACAAAAGACAAATGTCATTTATTGATAATAAACGACAAAATATAGATATTTGGAATGCTGGTAAAAACTGTACAACATGGCAACTTTGTTGATTGGCCAATCAAGAGCCTGTGATACTGAAAATTTAAAATATCTTTCTCATTTTGTCCTACACATGTTTGCTTTTTATCTCTTTTTCATCACAAAATGTCAAGATGTGTCAAGTTGACAAAAGACAAACATCATTTATTGATAATAAACCACAAAATATAAATATTTGAAATGCTGGTAAAAACTGTACAACATGGCAACTTTGTTTTTGATTGGCCAATCAAGAGCCTGTGATAGTGAAAATTTGAAATATCTTTCTCATTTCGTCTTACATGTGTTTGCTTTTTATCTCTTTTCATCACAAAATGTCAAGATGTGTCAAGTTGACAAAAGACAAATGTCATTTATTGATAATAAACCACAAAATATAGATATTTGGAATGCTGGTAAAAACTGTACAACATGGCAACTTTGTTGATTGGCCAATCAAGAGCCTGAAACAGTAAAAATTTGAAATATCTTTCTCATTTTGTCTTACATATGATTGGTTTTTATTTCTCTTTCATCACAAAATGTGTCAAGTTGACAAAAGACAAATGTCATTTATTGATAATAAACCACAAAATATAGATATTTGGAATGCTGGTAAAAACTGTACAACATGGCAACTTTGTTGATTGGCCAATCAAGAGCCTGTGATAGTGAAAATTTGAAATATCTTTCTCATTTCGTCTTACATGTGTTTGCTTTTTATCTCTTTTCATCACAAAATGTCAAGTTGACAAAAGACAAACGTCATTTATTGATAATAAGCCACAAAATATAAATATTTGGAATGCTGGTAAAAACTGTACAACATGGCAACTTTGTTGATTGGCCAATCAAGAGCCTGAAACAGTAAAAATTTGAAATATCTTTCTCATTTTGTCTTACATATGATTGGTTTTTATTTCTCTTTCATCACAAAATGTGTCAAGTTGACAATAGACAAATGTCATTTATTGATAATAAACCACAAAATATAGATATTTGGAATGCTGGTAAAAACTGTACAACATGGCAACTTTGTTGATTGGCCAATCAAGAGCCTGTGATAGTGAAAATTTGAAATATCTTTCTCATTTCGTCTTACATGTGTTTGCTTTTTATCTCTTTTCATCACAAAATGTCAAGATGTGTCAAGTTGACAAAAGACAAATGTCATTTATTGATAATAAACGACAAAATATAGATATTTGGAATGCTGGTAAAAACTGTACAACATGGCAACTTTGTTGATTGGCCAATCAAGAGCCTGAAACAGTAAAAATTTGAAATATCTTTCTCATTTTGTCTTACATATGATTGGTTTTTATTTCTCTTTCATCACAAAATGTGTCAAGTTGACAAAAGACAAATGTCATTTATTGATAATAAACGACAAAATATAGATATTTGGAATGCTGGTAAAAACTGTACAACATGGCAACTTTGTTGATTGGCCAATCAAGAGCCTGTAATAGTAAAAATTTGAAATATCTTCCTCATTTTATCTTACACGTGTTTGCTTTTTATCTCTTTTCATCACAAAATGTCAAGATGTGTCAAGTTGACAAAAGACAAATGTCATTTATTGATAATTAACCACTAAATAAAAATATTTGAAATGCTGGTAAAAACTGTACAACATGGCAACTTTGTTTTTGATTGGCCAATCAAGAGCCTGAAACAGTAAAAATTTGAAATATCTTTCTCATTTTGTCTTACATATGATTGGTTTTTATTTCTCTTTCATCACAAAATGTGTAAAGTTGACAAAAGACAAATGTCATTTATTGATAATTAACCACTCAATAAAAATATTTGAAATGCTGGTAAAAACTGTACAACATGGCAACTTTGTTGATTGGCCAATCAAGAGCCTGAAACAGTAAAAATTTGAAATATCTTTCTCATTTTGTCTTACATATGATTGGTTTTTATTTCTCTTTCATCACAAAATGTGTAAAGTTGACAAAAGACAAATGTCATTTATTGATAATAAACGACAAAATACCGGGTGGTCCTCCGGGAATGACATCGATTGCTTATGGGAAAACTGTGAAAGGTAAAAATTTGAAAATTTGGCAACATAGCAATGTCGATGGGGGACATCTAGGTAAAATATTTTCAAGATGGCGGCATTTCCGGTCATACCGGAAGTTGATACCAACTCGGTTATTTTAAATAGAACACCCCATATATTAATGTATTTTTGGATTCTACATAAAATTCTGAGCAGATTTCATGTAATATACCCTATACCTAAGTTCAACTGTTTTGGAAATATTGACAGTTGAAAATTGACTTTTTGCAACTTTGACAAGCTGTAAAACCTAATTGGTTAATTTTAGAGGAAAACCGATTTCACATTCCTATCTTGGATTTTGATAAACTATCATTTGACACCAACTTTGAACTTAAACGGAGATTAAATTTAACTGAAATTTTTAATCATGGATTTAATTCAAAGTTGATGTCAAATGATAGTTTATAAAAGTCTAAGATAGGAATGTGAAATCGGTTTTCCTCTAAAATTAACCAATTAGGTTTTACAGCTTGTCAAAGTTGCAAAAAGTCAATTTTCAACTGTCAATATTTCCAAAACAGTTGAACTTAGGTATAGGGTATATTACATGAAATCTGCTCAGAATTTTATGTAGAATCCAAAAATACATTAATATATGGGGTGTTCTATTTAAAATAACCGAGTTGGTATCAACTTCCGGTATGACCGGAAATGCCGCCATCTTGAAAATATTTTACCTAGATGTCCCCCATCGACATTGCTATGTTGCCAAATTTTCAAATTTTTACCTTTCACAGTTTTCCCATAAGCAATCGATGTCATTCCCGAAGGACCACCCTGTTTTCAGGGATTGTAGTCCTTTGAAAAGGATAATTTTCAGTGAAAGATTCAGCTTTCTATCTTATAGATATTTGGAATGCTGGTAAAAACTGTACAACATGGCAACTTTGTTGATTGGCCAATCAAGAGCCTGTAATAGTAAAAATTTGAAATATCTTCCTCATTTTATCTTACACGTGTTTGCTTTTTATCTCTTTTCATCACAAAATGTCAAGATGTGTCAAGTTGACAAAAGACAAATGTCATTTATTGATAATAAACCACTAAATAAAAATATTTGAAATGCTGGTAAAAACTGTACAACATGGCAACTTTGTTTTTGATTGGCCAATCAAGAGCCTGAAACAGTAAAAATTTGAAATATCTTTCTCATTTTGTCTTACATATGATTGGTTTTTATTTCTCTTTCATCACAAAATGTGTCAAGTTGACAAAAGACAAATGTCATTTATTGATAATAAACGACAAAATATAGATATTTGGAATGCTGGTAAAAACTGTACAACATGGCAACTTTGTTGATTGGCCAATCAAGAGCCTGTGATACTGAAAATTTAAAATATCTTTCTCATTTTGTCCTACACATGTTTGCTTTTTATCTCTTTTTCATCACAAAATGTCAAGATGTGTCAAGTTGACAAAAGACAAACATCATTTATTGATAATAAACCACAAAATATAAATATTTGAAATGCTGGTAAAAACTGTACAACATGGCAACTTTGTTTTTGATTGGCCAATCAAGAGCCTGTGATAGTGAAAATTTGAAATATCTTTCTCATTTCGTCTTACATGTGTTTGCTTTTTATCTCTTTTCATCACAAAATGTCAAGATGTGTCAAGTTGACAAAAGACAAATGTCATTTATTGATAATAAACCACAAAATATAGATATTTGGAATGCTGGTAAAAACTGTACAACATGGCAACTTTGTTGATTGGCCAATCAAGAGCCTGAAACAGTAAAAATTTGAAATATCTTTCTCATTTTGTCTTACATATGATTGGTTTTTATTTCTCTTTCATCACAAAATGTGTCAAGTTGACAAAAGACAAATGTCATTTATTGATAATAAACCACAAAATATAGATATTTGGAATGCTGGTAAAAACTGTACAACATGGCAACTTTGTTGATTGGCCAATCAAGAGCCTGTGATAGTGAAAATTTGAAATATCTTTCTCATTTCGTCTTACATGTGTTTGCTTTTTATCTCTTTTCATCACAAAATGTCAAGTTGACAAAAGACAAACGTCATTTATTGATAATAAGCCACAAAATATAAATATTTGGAATGCTGGTAAAAACTGTACAACATGGCAACTTTGTTGATTGGCCAATCAAGAGCCTGAAACAGTAAAAATTTGAAATATCTTTCTCATTTTGTCTTACATATGATTGGTTTTTATTTCTCTTTCATCACAAAATGTGTCAAGTTGACAATAGACAAATGTCATTTATTGATAATAAACCACAAAATATAGATATTTGGAATGCTGGTAAAAACTGTACAACATGGCAACTTTGTTGATTGGCCAATCAAGAGCCTGTGATAGTGAAAATTTGAAATATCTTTCTCATTTCGTCTTACATGTGTTTGCTTTTTATCTCTTTTCATCACAAAATGTCAAGATGTGTCAAGTTGACAAAAGACAAATGTCATTTATTGATAATAAACCACAAAATATAGATATTTGGAATGCTGGTAAAAACTGTACAACATGGCAAATTTGTTGATTGGCCAATCAAGAGCCTGAAACAGTAAAAATTTGAAATATCTTTCTCATTTTGTCTTACATATGATTGGTTTTTATTTCTCTTTCATCACAAAATGTGTCAAGTTGACAATAGACAAATGTCATTTATTGATAATAAACCACAAAATATAGATATTTGGAATGCTGGTAAAAACTGTACAACATGGCAACTTTGTTGATTGGCCAATCAAGAGCCTGTGATACTGAAAATTTAAAATATCTTTCTCATTTTGTCCTACACATGTTTGCTTTTTATCTCTTTTTCATCACAAAATGTCAAGATGTGTCAAGTTGACAAAAGACAAACATCATTTATTGATAATAAACCACAAAATATAAATATTTGAAATGCTGGTAAAAACTGTACAACATGGCAACTTTGTTTTTGATTGGCCAATCAAGAGCCTGTAATAGTAAAAATTTGAAATATCTTTCTCATTTTGTCTTACACGTGTTTACTTTTTATCTCTTTTTCATCACAAAATGTCAAGATGTGTCAAGTTGACAAAAGACAAATGTCATTTATTGATAATAAACCACAAAATATAAATATTTGGAATGCTGGTAAAAACTGTACAACATGGCAACTTTGTTTTTGATTGGCTAATCAAGAGCCTGTAATAGTCAAAATTTGAAATATTTTTCTCGTTTTGTCCTACATATGATTGGTTTTGTATCTCTTTCTCATCATAAACTGTCAAAATATGTCAAATGACAAATTTTACGTAAACTGTCAAAGTGCAATCAAAATTCAAAATGTCAAGAAATTAATTTGGCAACGTTACATTTTAAATTTTAGAGTATTGCTATTAACTATAAGATAAATTTACCAATAATCTATATTCCTTATTGGTCAACCAACAGTAATCAATAACCAATCAAACCAAATTTCATTGTTTGTTGGCGATTTGGACCAATCAAAAACACTCTAGTTTGTGATTTCTATAAGAACACACCTATAGATTACATTTTTATCAGAAACTGAATAAATTGGGCCTAGTCTGATAAAATGTATACTTACTTAATTGTTGTAGGTAATACAGAAAACTGTAACGCAAAAGAAGGTAATCCGTTTGGACCGTTTTGGGATACTTTCAATGTAGATTTTGTGGCTTCTGAGTTTTATGGGCCTTTGCACTACGATATCACAAATAAAGATGTTTTGGCCCAATGGCTGGACAAGTATTCGTCTAGTAAATGGCCTGTTTTAGCTTTCACAGGTAAGAATTGGAAGGTTTAGAGATGAGTTGAGAAATACCTACTCAACAGTATTTTTTTCAAGGTGCTCCAGCCAGTTTTCCAGTCTCAAACGAAAACCGCCTTCTACACAAACACCTACAATGGTCCAAAACCATTGACCAACAAGCTGAATCTTTTATAAAATCAAAAATGCCCAAAGGAGCTTTTGTAGGGCTACATTTGCGCAACGGAGTGGATTGGGTGCGAGCCTGCGAGCACATTCCTGAAAGCCCCAATTTGTTTTCAGCCCCCCAATGTCTAGGATACCAAAACGAAAAAGGCAAAGCCACTGCAGACATGTGTTTGCCTTCAAAAGAATTAATTTTAAGGCAATTGAAGCGAGTAATTAAGAGTATTAACAATAATAACCAGAAAACTATTGTAGCTGTTTTTGTTGCTTCAGATAACAATCACATGTTAGAAGAGCTGCAAAGTGGACTAAAACGAATGGACATAAGGGTTTTTAAGTTGGATAAATCTAGTCCTCATATAGATTTGGCTATTTTAGGCAAATCAAATCATTTTATTGGTAATTGTATTTCGTCGTTTAGTGCCTTTGTTAAGAGGGAGAGGGATGTTAAGGGATTTACTTCGAGTTTTTGGGCTTTTCCTCAAGAGAAAAGTGCTAGTAAGAAGTCAAAACATGACGAATTGTAACTTTCATAGTTTCTTTTTTTACACTTGTGACTAAGAATCAAAATTTCTTTTGGTGAATGCGGTAAATAGAGTAGCGCCATCTATTTTTCAAGCCACAACATTAACTTTGCGCCTACTCCAATGCAAGGAGAGTTTTGGAGAAGGCGCAAGAAGATCAATAAAAATGTGATTGTACGATAATTTACATATTAATTACGGAAATTTTCCAAGCGTCATAAGACTGCAATTAAGTATTTTTAGGTTTTTAAGCGTCAAATCTCGGATCACATCCAATAATTGAAAAATGTGATACTTTTATACCAATGTACGTAGTTATAAGGCTTTTATTTTTTTCTAAAAATGAATCACTAATAGTAATTAAGCCTTTTCAATAAAATCATGACACTGCTAGTAAATGACATGTTCTAATTTTAAACCACCCCAGTCAGCAGGAATTTATTAGTCATGTGCCTCTGAAAAAATACAGACATGGAGATTGATATGTTTGTCTTTTCGATTATAGTATAGAAGTCAGTAGCGGCGCTTTGTAGAATTAATACACGGATTTTGGTATTTCACTCACTAATACTACAAAAATGATTCATTGCCAGGTATTTTGAATTTTTTTTCCTGAAAAACTATTTTTAACTCATGTAAAATTCAATCCATTTCAGTTTTCAAGGAAATTCAACATCATTTATTGCGGGTTTTTTTGGGACCTCTAATTAATTAATTGTGAATCCCATGAGAAAATTGGGAAATTCAATCTCATCAATTTTATAAGTAGGTATCTGACAGGTATTTTTTTATATTTTCGGAATTTTGTATTGGCAACACTGAAACTGAATAAGTTATAGTAGGCCATGTACAATTTACAATTAATAATCTTTCAGCTGACGATACTGGAGTTACATTTCTTGTACTGTACACAAAATTTATTAGCCTACTCAAGTGCCGAGAATAATAAAAATAATTTCAATTTTATCTTTCCTACTTTATCTTCATTTCATTCTCACACGTTCAATTTTTTTATATCCTTATCTTCCTCTTATTTCAAGTTACAAAGTTACTCGAGCATCAGGAATAATTAAAACTTAAGTCATAATTTTTTTCTCTCTACTTTATTTCTATCTCTTTCTTGCTCATTCACTTTCTCAAGATATATACTCATTTCTCTCTCAAAAAGCATCTGTACACGATGCGAGAAACTACATGCGTGAAAGCCTCGAATCCAATTTCCATGCAATCTCGAACCGTCTATAATAAACTAATCTCGCATTTACAAATTCTAATATGTCCTACTTTATATTCGTCTCTTTTCCACTCATTGTGTTTCCCATGTCGTTTCTCACTCTCTTATTTTAGGCCCATGATTGAGTCACTCCAGCGCCGGCTCTTAATTTCAATCCAAGAGCCGGGAATAATCAAAAATTTTTACACCTTCTATATCTCTATCGCATTTTATAAGGATAAGAAAAACAAGAACAAAGATACTACACTTATTGGTTGGATTTGCGCTAATGATTTGACAGTTAAAATACCTACTAAAGCCTAGTACTCATAACCGCGAAATTCGCTCTTTTTTGACATTGATTGCGTCGACAATTTGACATTTTATCTGTGAATCAAACGTCAAATTATCGAAGGAATGTCAAAAAAGAGCGAATTTCGCAGTTATGAATACTAGGCTTAATGTTTCAAAATACGATTTTGCAAATTTTATAACTAAATCCGAGTACTTAGATTGTATAAAATTTTCCAAAAATAATTTAAAGAATATCATTATCGCATTATCCTTTTTTATCCTAAGCAGTTGAAATAAAATGGAGATATTATTTTATTTCACTTTATCTCCGTCTCTTTCTCACTCGTTCAGTTTTCTATAAATAGCTGTCTCTTGCTTTATATTTTACCAAGCACTTGATTGGTCAGACAAATATGCATCATTCTATTATGTCTTTAATCTTTATCTTTCTTTTTTTCATTGAATCTCTTATATCATTATTTTTGTCTTATTATTTCAGGTTTTTGATTAGTCAGGCACCAAAATTACAAGGCCACTCAAACGCCGAGAATAATCAAAAATCCCCTACTTTATGTCCGTTTCTTTCTTTCTTATTATGTTTTCTATATCGTCTCATGTTTCAAGTCCATAATTGAGTCACTCAAAAAATCAAGAATCGAGCGCGGGGAATACCCAGACATTAGTATCACATTTATTTTTTTCCCACTTTATCTCCTTCTCACCCATTTTATTTTCTATATCGCTGTCTCGTATTATTCCAGGCTCTTTTGGTCGGGCACAAAAATTATAAAATCACTCAAGCGCCAGGAATAGTGGAAATATGCCTCAGTAAATTTTCATTCTATTATGTATGTATCTCTCTCTTTTTCATTGAATCTTTTATATTAGTATCTTTCTCTTATTATTAATTAGTCAGACACAAAAAATACAAGGCCACTCAAGCGCCGAGAATAATCAAACTATAAATCAAATTAGTGATCCTACTTTATATCCATCTCTTTCTTACTCATTGTATTTCTTATGTCGTCGCTCACTTTCTTTATTTAAGTTTATGATTGAGCGCCGGGAATACTCAAAAATTAGTGACACGTTTAATTTTATCTCTGTCTCTTTCTCACTCATTTCATTTTCTATATCAATATCTCTTATCATTTCAGGCTTTTTCAGACACAAAAATTACACGGTCACTCAATCGCCGAGAATAATCAAAATTTGTACAAATTTTCGTTTTCTACTTTATATCTGTCTCTTTCTTATTTATTATGTTTCCTATGTTGTCTTTTATTTTCTTATTTCAAGTCCGTAATTGAGCGCCGGGAATACTCAAAAATTAGTGTCACGTTTATATTTATTTCACTTTATCTCGGTCTCTTTCTCACTTATTCCATTTTCTATATCGCTGATTGGTCAAACATAGACAAGAGCCAGGAATAATGAAAATATGCTTCAATAAATTTTCATTTTATGTCTGCATCTCTTTTTCATTGAATCTTTTATATCATTATCTTTCTTTTATTATTCCAGGCTATTCATTGGTCAGATACAAAAATTACAAGACCATTCAAGCGACGGAAATAATTGAAATTCTTGTTATAAATTTCCATTTTCTACTTTATATCCGTCTCTTTCTTACGTATTGTATTTCCTATTTCGCCTCTCACTCTCTCATTGCAGGCCCATGATTGAGACACTCGAGCGTCAAAAAGTTTGTGCCCAAAAATACCCAAAAATCAGTGTCATGTTTGTTTATATCCCACTCTATCTCCGTTTCTTTCTCACCCATTCAATTTTCTATATTGCTGTAAGTATCTTTCTTAATTTATTATTCCAGACTCTTGGACATAGAAATTACAAAGTCACTCAAGCGCCAAGAATAATGAAAATATACCTCAATACACTTTCATTTTAATGTCTATCTCTCTCTCTTTTTCATTGAATTCCTTTTATTATTATCTTTCTCTTATTATTCCAGAATTTTGATTGGCTAGACACAAAAGTTACAAGTACAGTCAAACGCCGAGAATAATAAAAATTCGTATCACAATTTATAATCCTATTGTATTGCTGTCTCTTTTAAATTCATTAAATTTCTTATAGAGGCTCTCAATTTTGCGATTTTGACAGTTGGAATAATGGAAATATGCCTCAATACATTTTAATTTTAATGTCTATATATCTCTCTCTTTTTCATTCAGTTTCTTATATCATTATCTTTCTCTTATTATTCTAGACTTTTGATTGGGTAAACACAAAAGTTTCAAGCACACTCAAACGCCGATAATAATCAAAATTCGTATCACAATCTTAAATCCTATCTTATTGCCGTCTCTTTTTCACTCACTAAATTTCTCATAGAGGCTCTCTCAATTTTACGATTTTGACAGTAGGAATAATGGCTGGGTTCGTTTATTGCATCTGGGGAGCAAATTTTGACAGATGTCACGTGATTTGACACGTGAAAAAAGATAAGTGATTACGTGGCATCCCTCAAAATTTGCTTTCTTTGTTCGCAGAAGTCACAGATGCAATAAACGAGCTCAGCCAATGAAAATATGCCTCGATACTTTTTCATTTTAATATCTCTCTCTTTTTCATTCAATTTCTTATATCATTATCTTTCTCTTATTATTCTAGACTTTTGATTGGGTAGACACAAAAGTTTCAAGCACACTCAAACGCCGATAATAATCAAAATTCGTATCACAATCTAAAATCCTATCTTATTGCCGTCTCTTTTTCACTCACTAAATTTCTCATAGAGGCTCTCTCAATTTTACGATTTTGACAGTAGGAATAATGGCTGGGTTCGTTTATTGCATCTGGGGAGCAAAATTTGACAGATGTCACGTGATTTGACACGTGAAAAAAGATAAGTGATTACGTGGCATCCAGCAAAATTTGCTCACTTTGTTCGCAGAAGTCACAGATGCAATAAACGAGCTCAACCAATGAAAATATGCCTCGATACTTTTTCATTTTAATATCTCTCTCTTTTTCATTCAATTTCTTATATCATTGTCTTTCTCTTATTATTCTAGACTTTTGATTGGGTAGACACAAAAGTTTCAAGCACACTCAAACGCCGATAATAATCAAAATTCGTATCACAATCTAAAATCCTATCTTATTGCCGTCTCTTTTTCACTCACTAAATTTCTCATAGAGGCTCTCTCAATTTTACGATTTTGACAGTAGGAATAATGGCTGGGTTCGTTTATTGCATCTGGGGAGCAAAATTTGACAGATGTCACGTGATTTGACACGTGAAAAAAGATAAGTGATTACGTGGCATCCAGCAAAATTTGCTCACTTTGTTCGCAGAAGTCACAGATGCAATAAACGAGCTCAACCAATGAAAATATGCCTCGATACTTTTTCATTTTAATATCTCTCTCTTTTTCATTCAATTTCTTATATCATTGTCTTTCTCTTATTATTCTAGACTTTTGATTGGGTAGACACAAAAGTTTCAAGCACACTCAAACGCCGATAATAATCAAAATTCGTATCACAATCTAAAATCCTATCTTATTGCCGTCTCTTTTTCACTCACTAAATTTCTCATAGAGGCTCTCTCAATTTTACGATTTTGACAGTAGGAATAATGGCTGGGTTCGTTTATTGCATCTGGGGAGCAAAATTTGACAGATGTCACGTGATTTGACACGTGAAAAAAGATAAGTGATCACGTGGCATCCCTCAAAATTTGCTCACTTTGTTCGCAGAAGTCACAAATGCAATAAACGAGCTCAGCCAATGAAAATATGCCTCGATACTTTTTCATTTTAATATCTCTCTCTTTTTCATTCAATTTCTTATATCATTGTCTTTCTCTTATTATTCTAGACTTTTGATTGGGTAGACACAAAAGTTTCAAGCACACTCAAACGCCGATAATAATCAAAATTCGTATCACAATCTAAAATCCTATCTTATTGCCGTCTCTTTTTCACTCACTAAATTTCTCATAGAGGCTCTCTCAATTTTACGATTTTGACAGTAAGAATAATGGCTGGGTTAGTTTATTGCATCTGGGGAGCAAAATTTGACAGATGTCACGTGATTTGACACGTGAAAAAAGATAAGTGATTACGTGGCATCCCTCAAAATTTGCTTTCTGTGTTCGCAGAAGTCACAGATGCAATAAACGAGCTCAGCCAATGAAAATATGCCTCGATACTTTTTCATTTTAATATCTCTCTCTTTTTCATTCAATTTCTTATATCATTGTCTTTCTCTTATTATTCTAGACTTTTGATTGGGTAGACACAAAAGTTTCAAGCACACTCAAACGCCGATAATAATCAAAATTCGTATCACAATCTAAAATCCTATCTTATTGCCGTCTCTTTTTCACTCACTAAATTTCTCATAGAGGCTCTCTCAATTTTACGATTTTGACAGTAGGAATAATGGCTGGGTTAGTTTATTGCATCTGGGGAGCAAAATTTGACAGATGTCACGTGATTTGACACGTGAAAAAAGATAAGTGATCACGTGGCATCCCTCAAAATTTGCTCACTTTGTTCGCAGAAGTCACAAATGCAATAAACGAGCTCAGCCAATGAAAATATGCCTCGATACTTTTTCATTTTAATATCTCTCTCTTTTTCATTCAATTTCTTATATCATTGTCTTTCTCTTATTATTCTAGACTTTTGATTGGGTAGACACAAAAGTTTCAAGCACACTCAAACGCCGATAATAATCAAAATTCGTATCACAATCTAAAATCCTATCTTATTGCCGTCTCTTTTTCACT